TAATTAAGTTGTGATTAATAGGGTTTGACAACAACACTCGTCCATCGTATAGCCTGTAACTGGACAGTGTAACCAGTAGTGTACTAGATCGTATAGCCTGTAACTGGACAGTGTGCCCAGCAATGTACTTGATCGTATAGCCTGTAACTGGACTGTGTACCCAGCAGTCTACTAGATCATATAACCTGTAACTGGACATTGTGCCCAGCAGTGTACTAGATCGTATAGCCTGTAACTGGACTGTGTACCAAGCAGTGTACTAGATCGTATAGACTGTAACTGGACAGTGTACCCAGCAGTGTACTAGATTGTATAGCCTGTAATTGGACTGTGTACCAAGCAGTGTACTAGATCGTCTAGCCTGTAACTGGACAGTGTACCCAGCAGTGTACTAGATCATATAGCCTGTAACTGGACAGTTTACCCAGCAGTGTACTAGATCGTATAGCCTGTAATTGGGCTGTGTACCAAGCAGTGTACTAGATCGTATAGCCTGTAACTGGACAGTGAACCCAGCAGTGTACTAGATCGTAAAGCCTGTAACTGGACAGTGTACCCAGCAGTGTACTAGATCGTAAAGCCTGTAACTGGACAGTGTACCCAGCAGTGTACTAGATCATATAGCCTGTAACTGGACAGTGTACCCAGCAGTGTACTAGATCGTATAGCCTGTAACTGGACTGTGTACCCAGCAGTGTACTAGATCATATAACCTGTAACTGGACATTGTGCCCAGCAGTGTACTAGATCGTATAGCCTGTAACTGGACAGTGTACCCAGCAGTGTACTAGATCGTATAGCCTGTAATTGGACTGTGTACCAAGCAGTGTACTAGATCGTATAGCCTGTAACTGGACAGTGTGCCCAGCAATGTACTAGATCGTATAGCCTGTAACTGGACAGTGTACCCAGCAGTGTACTAGATCGTATAGCCTGTATCTGGACAGTGTGCCCAGCAGTGTACTAGCTCGTATAGCCTGTAACTGGACGGTGTGCCCAGCAGTGTACTAGCTCGTATAGCCTGTAACTGGACTGTGGACTCAGCAGTGTACTAGATCATAAACCCTGTAACTGAACAGTGTACCCAGCAGTGTACTAGAGCGTATAGCCTGTAACTGGACAGCGTACCCAGCAGTGTACTAGATCATAAACCCTGTAACTGGACAGTGTACCCAGCTGTTTGTACTTGTGTAGAGTCAATAAAACAATACAATTCCAATCTCTATCTTTACCATACAGATGACCAAATACGAGATCGTATAGCCGTTAACTGGACAGTGTACCCAGCAGAGTACTAGATCGTATAGCCTGTCACTGGACAGTGTGCCCAGCAGTGGACTAGATCTTATAGCCTGTAACTGGACTGTGGACTCAGCAGTGTACTAGATCATAAACCCTGTAACTGGACAGGGTACCCAGCAGTGTACTAGATTGTATAGCCTGTAAATGGACAGTGTGCCTAGCAGTGTACTAGATCGTATAGCATGTAAATGGACAGTGTGCCCAGCAGTGGACTAGATCTTATAGCCTGTAACTGGACTGTGTGCCCAGCAGTGTACTAGCTCGTATAGCCTGTAACTGGACGGTGTGCCCAGCAGTGTACTAGATCGTATAGCCTGTAACTGGACAGTGTGCCCAGCATTGTACTAGATCGTATAGCCTGTAAATGGACAGTGTGCCCAGCAGTGTACTAGATCGTATAGCCTGTAACTGGAAAGTGTGCCCAGCAGTGTACTAGATCGTATAGCCTGTATCTGGACAGTGTGCCCAGCAGTGTACTAGATCATATAGCCTGTAACTGGACAGTGTACCCAGCAGTGTACTAGATGGTATAGCCTGTAACTGGACAGTGTGCCCAGCAGTGTACTCGATCGTATAGCCTGTAACTGGACAGTGTGCCCAGCAGTGTACTAGATTGTATAGCCTGTAACTGGACAGTGTACCCAGCAGTGTACTAGATGGTATAGCCTGTAACTGGACAGTGTACCCAGCAGTGTACTAGGTGGTATAGCCTGTAACTGGACAGTGTACCCAGCAGTGTACTAGCTCGTATAGCCTGTAACCGGACAGTGTGCCCAGCAGTGTACTAGATCGTATATCCTGTAACTGGACAGTGTGCCCAGCAGTGTACTCGATCGTATAGCCTGTAAATGGACAGTGTGCCCAGCAGTGTACAAGATCGTATAGCCTGTAACTGGACAGTGTGCCAAGCAGTGTACTAGATCATATAGCCTGTAACTGGACAGTGTGCCAAGCAGTGTACTAGATCATATAGCCTGTAACTGGACAGTGTACCCAGCAGTGTACTAGATCGTATAGCCTGTAACTTGACAGTGTGCCCAGCAGTGTACTAGATCGTATATCCTGTAACTGGACAGTGTGCCCAGCAATGTACTAGATCGTATAGCCTGTAACTGGACAGTGTACACAGCAGTGTACTAGATCGTATAGCCTGTAACCGGACAGTGTTCCCAGCAGTGTACTAGATCGTATAGCCTGTAACCGGACAGTGTTCCCAGCAGTGTACTAGATCGTATAGCCTGTAACTGGACAGTGTGCCCAGCAGTGTACTGGATCGTATAGCCTGTATCTGGACAGTGTACCAAGCAGTGTACTAGACCATATAGCTTGTAACTGGACAGTGTACCCAACAGTGTACTAGATCATATAGCCTGTAACTGGACAGTGTGCCCAGCAGTGTACTAGATCGTATAGCCTGTATCTGGACAGTGTACCAAGCAGTGTACTAGATCATATAGCTTGTAACTGGACAGTGTACCCAACAGTGTACTAGATCATATAGCCTGTAACTGGACAGTGTACCCAGCAGTGTCCTAGATTGTATAGCCTGTAACTGGACAGTGTACCCAGCAGTGTAATAGATTGTATAGCCTGTAACTGGACAGTGTACCCAGCAGTGTAATAGATTGTATAGCCTGTAACTGGACAGTGTACCCAGCAGTGGACTAGATCATATAGCCTGTAACTGGACAGTGTACCAAGCAGTGTACTAGATCGTAAAGCCTGTATCTGGACAGTGTGCCCAGCAGTGTACTAGATCGTATAGCCTGTAACTGGACAGTGTACCCAGCAGTGTACTAGATCATATAGCCTGTAACTGCACAATGTACCAAGCAGTGTACTAGATCATATAGCCTGTAACTGGACAGTGTACCCAGCAGTGTACTAGATTGTATAACCTGTAACTGGACAGTGTACCCAGCTGTTTGTACATGTGTAGAGGCAATAAAACAATACAATTCCAATCTATATCTTTACCATACAGATCTACAAATGGCTTCTCTGCGCAGGTGTCGGATAGTACCCTCGGTAATTTGTACCGTAGTTCTCCTTGTGAAGGTAGTGTGTTTAGTTTGTACCGTAGTTCTCCTAGTGAAGGTTATGAGTTACATGTGGTTATTTGTATCGTAGTTCTCCTAGTGAAGGTTGTGTTACCTGTGGTAATTTGTACCGTAGTTCTCCTAGTGAAGGAAGTGTGTTAGTTTGTACCGTAGTTTTCCTAGTGAAGGTTGTGTCACCTGTGGTAATTTGTACCGTAGTTCTCCTAGTGAAGGTAGTGTGTTACCTGTGGTAATTTGTACCGTAGTTCTCCTGGTGAAGGTTATGTTACCTGTGGTAATTTGTACCGTAGCTCTCCTAGTGAAGGTTATGTTACCTGTGGTAATTTGTACAGTTGTTCTCCTAGTGAAGGTTATGAGTTACCTGTGGTAATTTGTACTGTAGTTCTCGACCTAGTGAAGGTAGTGTGTTACCTGTGGTAATTTGTACCGTAGTTCTCCTTGTGAAGGTAGTGAGTTTAGTTTGTACCGTAGTTCTCCTAGTGAAGGTTATGAGTTACCTGTGGTAATTTGTACTGTAGTTCTCGACCTAGTGAAGGTAGTGTGTTACCTGTGGTAATTTGTACCGTAGTTCTCCTAGTGAAGGTAGTGTAGTACCTGTGGTAAAATTAGTTCAGTAGTTCTCCTAGGGAAGGTTATGAGTTACCTGTGGTAATTTGTACCGTAGTTCTGCTAGTGAAGGTTATGTTACCTGTGGTAATTTGTACAGTTGTTCTCCTAGTGAAGGTTATGAGTTACCTGTGGTAATTTGTACCGTAGTTCTCCTAGTGAAGGTTATGAGTTACCTGTGGTAATTTGTACAGTAGTTCTGCTAGTGAAGATTGTGTTACCTGTGGTAATTTGTACCGTAGTTCTCCTAGTGAAGGTAGTGAGTTTAGTTTGTACCATAGTTCAGCTAGTGAAGATTATGTTACCTGTGGTAATTTGTACCGTAGTTCTCCTAGTGAAGTTAGTGAGTTTAGTTTGTACCATAGTTCAGCTAGTGAAGATTATGTTACCTGTGGTAATTTGTATCGTAGTTCTCCTAGTGAAGGTAGTGTGTTACCTGTGGTAATTTGTACCGTAGTTCTCCTAGTGAAGGTTATGAGTTACCTGTGGTAATTTGTACCGTAGCTCTCCTAGGGAAGGTTATGAGTTACCTGTGGTAATTTGTACCGTAGTTCTGCTAGTGAAGGTTGTGTTACCTGTGGTAATTTGTACCGTAGTTCTCCTAGTTAAGGTAGTGTTATAACCTGTGTTAGTTCTTCTAGTGATAAATGATCAACTTTATTTATTGTTTTGTTACCTGACCAAACTAGAAAAAGTATTCTTTTAATAAACAAAATTTATTATTTTTACAACAAATATGAAATGAGTTTTAACAGTTTATGTTAATCAATCCTGTTTGCCCTGATGAAAGGTTGCAGAGGTTCTTAATATGGGAGGAAACTTGAGCACTAGATGTAAATCAACATAGTTGGGTCAAGGGTGACCCCGTACATTTTCATGCCAAGCCATCTTGTTGAAAGGAGTTTGTGCTATCGACTGCGTTATCCACTGTGCCACTCGTCCACCCAATTTCTGTGTTTGTTTGTACCGTAATGTATCTAGTACTGTATGTCAGTTTTGTTTTCACCAAATATTTCTTATGATACATTGCAGATCCCGTGGGGGTGTTTACGTGGAAACAAAGGACCAGACATCAGACAGCCAGTACGAAGGTGAGGACATCATTCCGCCGCGGGAAGCTGGCGACGGCCATGAGGAACCAGACTCCATTTTGATTGGAGGTAAGGGGGAGAAACTCTGTTTTTGGGAATAAAGGGGAAAATAGAACCTTTTCCTGTAAATTAACACACAAATTTATAAGAGCCTCGCCATTAGCCTTCGGCATTTTCGAGAGTTATTTTGAGTGAGGAAACCAGTAGCACAATGTTTTTAGGTTCTGTAACAACAAAATTGTCTCTCAGAAAAAAACATAATCAAGACGCAGATTTAATATCTAGTCAAACTAGTCGTGGATTTAATAACTAGTCAAACTAGTCGTGGATTTAATAACAAGTCAAACTAGTCGTGGATTTAATAACAAGTCAAACTAGTCGTGGATTTAATAGTCAAAATTTTCTTATCAAATGATTTTCTTTTCTATTTCTTTTAACAGAGGAGTATTCTACTGATGAGATTGTAGATTACATCGAGATCCCGGGATTAAGTAGCGGCAATGCGAGCGAGTCTGATGACGGCTATGATGACGTTGACTATCACAAACCTTCAAAGATACGATTTAGTAAAGGCCCAATAATGGTCAGTATGGATGTCCTACAAGCTGTATAACTGTGGAGGGTCACTTTTCAGGGTATTTTGGGAAAATGAAAGCTGGAATTATTCAAATATTATATTTCAATCTATCATCTATCCCATCATTCTATCTTTTTGAGATTTCTCAGTTGTTTAAATTAACAAGATAAAACAGTTTCCCTTGAAAATTTAGTATTTATATTCTTCTTGAACTGTCTGAGAAATGCGGCCTGCTTTCAATGTATGGTTATGAAAACAACCAACTGGCGCTATTCCCAATCATTGTAACACCTTATGGCAATTTCGATCAGAACTTTAATATGAAAAGAATTTCATAAAATTTTCAAAATGTTTTTTTAACTGAAAACGGGATGATTTATGTTTGTTTAATGAGGAGTTACGGACATTTGTTGTTGTTGATTAAAGGTGTTCCCGACATTTTCGACGGAGGAGTATGATCGGCGAAATGAGGATGTAGACCCAGTAGCAGCGTCTGCTGAATATGAACTGGAAAAACGGGTGGAAAAGATGGATGTTTTCCCCGTAGACCTCGTCAAAGGTAACCATAGTTACACAAGTAAAACTTTATCCCAGTAGACCTCATCAAAGGTAACCATAGTTACACAAGTCAAATTATATCTCCGTAGACCTTGTCAAAGGTAACCATAGTTACACAAGTCGAACTTTATCCCAGTAGACCTCTTAAAAGGTAACCATAGTTACACAAGTCGAACTTTATCCCAGTAGACCTCGTCAAAGGTAACCATAGTTACACAAGGCAAACTTTATCCCAGTAGACCTCGTAAAAGGTAACCATAGTTACACAAGTCAAATTATATCTCCGTAGACCTTGTCAAAGGTAACCATAGTTACACAAGTCAAACTTTATCCCAGTAGACTTCGTCAAAGGTAACCATAGTTACACAAGTAAAACTTTATCCCAGTAGACCTCATCAAAGGTAACCATAGTTACACAAGTCAAATTATATCTCCGTAGACCTCGTCAAAGGTAACCATAGTTACACAAGTCAAAGTTTTTTCTAATGTTGAAGCTGTTAATGGAATGTCTTAGATTGACGTATCTAATCTTTCTACCTATATATATATATATAATTGAATCATATGTATTAAAATTATACTTAGTTACAAAGTTTCTTATCTATGAATGAGTGTATGAGCCGATAAAAGTGTGAAAAATAAATCCTGCTTAAAACAAATTTTGTGTTTATCTGTATATCTCAATAAGAAAAGTAAAATTCAGATTGACTTTATCAAAAATTTCAAAAAATATTATGTGTGCTTGTTTATAATGATTCAATGTAGATGCTTTGTTGGGGAAAAAGAATGATGTTGTTGAACTTCCTCTGTCACATTTTACATGACTGAATATCACACAGCAAACAGAACGGCAACATTAAGGTAAAATGCTCATCAATTTGTGCTTCCTAGGCAACAAAACTTTGTACTTGTTATAAAAAAACTAATATCATTATATTTGAAGAAAAAAAACACCATGAAATAAAGTTTGAACACAAACACCTGTTGTTGCTGTTACAGGTCCCGAGGGGCTTGGCCTGAGTATCATTGGTATGGGGGTGGGGGCAGACGCAGGACTGGAAAAACTTGGGATCTTCATCAAAACCCTGACAGAGGGTGGGGCTGCCCAGAGAGACAACAGGTGAGGATTGTGAAATATATTGGAAGTTGGTTCGCTTGACGTCTGGATTACAGATTTTCCTGGTGACTTATATTTTCGGTATACAATAAGATCTACCAGGTCTGTTTATACAGGTTTCCTGTGTATAATGAGATCTATCAGGTCTTTTTACACAGGTTTCTTGTGTACAATGAGATTCATCAGGTCTGTTTACACAGGTTTCATGGTTACTGAGGTTTCCTGTGTACAGTGAGATCTATCAGATCTGTTTACACAGGTTTCCAGGTAACTAAGGTTTCCTGTATACAATGAGATCTATCAGGTCTGTTAACACAGGTTTCCAGGTTACTGAGGTGTCCTGTGTATAATGAGATCTAGTAGGACTGTACACAATGAGATCTAGTAGTACTGTACACAATGATATCTAGTAGGACTGTACACAATGAGATCTAGTAGGACTGTACACAATGAGATCTAGTAGGACTGTACACAATGAGATCTAGTAGGACTGTACACAATGAGATCTAGTAGGACTGTACACAATGAGATCTAGTAGGACTGTACACAATGAGATCTAGTAGGACTGTACACAATGAGATCTAGTAGGACTGTACACAATGAGATCTAGTAGGACTGTACACAATGAGATCTAGTAGGACTGTACACAATGAGATCTAGTAGGACTGTACACAATGAGATCTAGTAGGACTGTACACAATGAGATCTAGTAGGACTGTACACAATGAGATCTAGTAGGACTGTACACAATGAGATCTAGTAGGACTGTACACAATGAGATCTAGTAGGACTGTACACAATGAGATCTAGTAGGACTGTACACAATGAGATCTAGTAGGACTGTACACAATGAGATCTAGTAGGACTGTACACAATGAGATCTAGTAGGACTGTACACAATGAGATCTAGTAGGACTGTACACAATGAGATCTAGTAGGACTGTACACAATGAGATCTAGTAGGACTGTACACAATGAGATCTAGTAGGACTGTACACAATGAGATCTAGTAGGACTGTACACAATGAGATCTAGTAGGACTGTACACAATGAGATCTAGTAGGACTGTACACAATGAGATCTAGTAGGACTGTACACAATGAGATCTAGTAGGACTGTACACAATGAGATCTAGTAGGACTGTACACAATGAGATCTAGTAGGACTGTACACAATGAGATCTAGTAGGACTGTACACAATGAGATCTAGTAGGACTGTACACAATGAGATCTAGTAGGACTGTACACAATGAGATCTAGTAGGACTGTACACAATGAGATCTAGTAGGACTGTACACAATGAGATCTAGTAGGACTGTACACAATGAGATCTAGTAGGACTGTACACAATGAGATCTAGTAGGACTGTACACAATGAGATCTAGTAGGACTGTACACAATGAGATCTAGTAGGACTGTACACAATGAGATCTAGTAGGACTGTACACAATGAGATCTAGTAGGACTGTACACAATGAGATCTAGTAGGACTGTACACAATGAGATCTAGTAGGACTGTACACAATGAGATCTAGTAGGACTGTACACAATGAGATCTAGTAGGACTGTACACAATGAGATCTAGTAGGACTGTACACAATGAGATCTAGTAGGACTGTACACAATGAGATCTAGTAGGACTGTACACAATGAGATCTAGTAGGACTGTACACAATGAGATCTAGTAGGACTGTACACAATGAGATCTAGTAGGACTGTACACAATGAGATCTAGTAGGACTGTACACAATGAGATCTAGTAGGACTGTACACAATGAGATCTAGTAGGACTGTACACAATGAGATCTAGTAGGACTGTACACAATGAGATCTAGTAGGACTGTACACAATGAGATCTAGTAGGACTGTACACAATGAGATCTAGTAGGACTGTACACAATGAGATCTAGTAGGACTGTACACAATGAGATCTAGTAGGACTGTACACAATGAGATCTAGTAGGACTGTACACAATGAGATCTAGTAGGACTGTACACAATGAGATCTAGTAGGACTGTACACAATGAGATCTAGTAGGACTGTACACAATGAGATCTAGTAGGACTGTACACAATGAGATCTAGTAGGACTGTACACAATGAGATCTAGTAGGACTGTACACAATGAGATCTAGTAGGACTGTACACAATGAGATCTAGTAGGACTGTACACAATGAGATCTAGTAGGACTGTACACAATGAGATCTAGTAGGACTGTACACAATGAGATCTAGTAGGACTGTACACAATGAGATCTAGTAGGACTGTACACAATGAGATCTAGTAGGACTGTACACAATGAGATCTAGTAGGACTGTACACAATGAGATCTAGTAGGACTGTACACAATGAGATCTAGTAGGACTGTACACAATGAGATCTAGTAGGACTGTACACAATGAGATCTAGTAGGACTGTACACAATGAGATCTAGTAGGACTGTACACAATGAGATCTAGTAGGACTGTACACAATGAGATCTAGTAGGACTGTACACAATGAGATCTAGTAGGACTGTACACAATGAGATCTAGTAGGACTGTACACAATGAGATCTAGTAGGACTGTACACAATGAGATCTAGTAGGACTGTACACAATGAGATCTAGTAGGACTGTACACAATGAGATCTAGTAGGACTGTACACAATGAGATCTAGTAGGACTGTACACAATGAGATCTAGTAGGACTGTACACAATGAGATCTAGTAGGACTGTACACAATGAGATCTAGTAGGACTGTACACAATGAGATCTAGTAGGACTGTACACAATGAGATCTAGTAGGACTGTACACAATGAGATCTAGTAGGACTGTACACAATGAGATCTAGTAGGACTGTACACAATGAGATCTAGTAGGACTGTACACAATGAGATCTAGTAGGACTGTACACAATGAGATCTAGTAGGACTGTACACAATGAGATCTAGTAGGACTGTACACAATGAGATCTAGTAGGACTGTACACAATGAGATCTAGTAGGACTGTACACAATGAGATCTAGTAGGACTGTACACAATGAGATCTAGTAGGACTGTACACAATGAGATCTAGTAGGACTGTACACAATGAGATCTAGTAGGACTGTACACAATGAGATCTAGTAGGACTGTACACAATGAGATCTAGTAGGACTGTACACAATGAGATCTAGTAGGACTGTACACAATGAGATCTAGTAGGACTGTACACAATGAGATCTAGTAGGACTGTACACAATGAGATCTAGTAGGACTGTACACAATGAGATCTAGTAGGACTGTACACAATGAGATCTAGTAGGACTGTACACAATGAGATCTAGTAGGACTGTACACAATGAGATCTAGTAGGACTGTACACAATGAGATCTAGTAGGACTGTACACAATGAGATCTAGTAGGACTGTACACAATGAGATCTAGTAGGACTGTACACAATGAGATCTAGTAGGACTGTACACAATGAGATCTAGTAGGACTGTACACAATGAGATCTAGTAGGACTGTACACAATGAGATCTAGTAGGACTGTACACAATGAGATCTAGTAGGACTGTACACAATGAGATCTAGTAGGACTGTACACAATGAGATCTAGTAGGACTGTACACAATGAGATCTAGTAGGACTGTACACAATGAGATCTAGTAGGACTGTACACAATGAGATCTAGTAGGACTGTACACAATGAGATCTAGTAGGACTGTACACAATGAGATCTAGTAGGACTGTACACAATGAGATCTAGTAGGACTGTACACAATGAGATCTAGTAGGACTGTACACAATGAGATCTAGTAGGACTGTACACAATGAGATCTAGTAGGACTGTACACAATGAGATCTAGTAGGACTGTACACAATGAGATCTAGTAGGACTGTACACAATGAGATCTAGTAGGACTGTACACAATGAGATCTAGTAGGACTGTACACAATGAGATCTAGTAGGACTGTACACAATGAGATCTAGTAGGACTGTACACAATGAGATCTAGTAGGACTGTACACAATGAGATCTAGTAGGACTGTACACAATGAGATCTAGTAGTACTGTACACAATGAGATCTAGTAGTACTGTACACAATGAGATCTAGTAGTACTGTACACAATGAGACCAGTAGGACTGTACACAATGATATCTAGTAGGACTGTACATAATGAGATCTAGTAGTACGGTACACAATGAGATCTAGTAGGACTGTACATAATTAGATCTAGTAGGACTGTACACAATGAGATCTAGTAGGACTGTACATAATTAGATCTAGTAGTAATGAGATCTAGTAGTACTGGTAGGACTGTACACAATGATTTTTAGTAGGACTATACACAATGAGGTCTAGTAGGACTGTACATAATGAGATCTAGTAGGACTGTACATAATGAGATCTAGTAGTACTGTACACAATGAGACCAGTAGGACTGTACACAATGAGATCTAGTAGGACTGTACATAATGAGAGCTAGTAGGACTGTTAACATATTATGATAAACAATATCTATATTGGGCCTCATCATAAAAAACAATATGAAAAGACTATATATGAGGTTTCTATAAATATATTTCTATATTGTATTAGTTATCTTGCTCTATTGTGGTTACTAGACCTTACAGGTAAAGCTAGTTTTTACACCGTTTGTCTGTACACTGTTTTTGTTGTAATTCGTTATAACATTGATGACACATTAATATTGTTCATGTCAACATTTTGTTTACACAGGATCCACGTAAACGACCAAATCATTGAGGTGGATGGTAAGAGTTTGGTGGGAGTCACGCAGGCCTATGCTGCCTCAGTCCTTCGCAACACGAGTGGAACTGTAAAGTAAGTTATCTCCCCTTATATATGGAGCAGGTTATAACTTTACATCAGAGTACAGTCGCCTTCTAGCTTCGCACTAGGGGGAATTTCCCTTTAGCTCAATGGTAGAGCATCCGACTAGGAACCTAGAGATCACAGGTTTGATCCCCGGTGGAAGCACACTATTCTCTTACCTGTTACAATTGATGTCTGTGGGCCTCCCTGTGGTGACAGGGAGTTAGAACCTGGGTTGTGGTTTTTGAGGATGAACACATATTTATGAAAAATATGGCTGGGGAAATAAAACTGAAAGAGGAAAAAAGAATTTGAACTTCCCCTAGAGCTTTGTTGGATTTTACAAATATATCAAATGAGCTATCCTTAATATAGGTTGAAGTATTTTACTGTCCTTGATATTTATGTAAACGTCATTTTTTTTTGTCGCAGAATCAATTTTCCCCACAAATGAATTGATTTAAAAATTTGGTATATTAATTGTTGGCAAGTTTATTTGGTGAAAATGTTACAGTTGCCTATTTTCATCTTATGTTGCAACATGGCTTTTGATTGGTTGTTCCTTTTTGTTTCCAGGTTTATGATTGGTCGAGAGAAAGATCCAAGTAAAAGTGAAGTTGCACGGCTGATTCAGCAATCACTGGAGCAAGACCGTCGGCGTGAAGAGATGAGGAAGCGGGACCAGGAGCGACTTCAGCATCTACAGGATGAGGTTAAGCCACGCGATGAAGTGGCGGAACACCAACATCAGCGACGTCTGTCGGAGAGTGAAAAGGACATCTTACTGGATGATGATAAGGTGACGGTTGATAGAGATTTAGGTTTATTTTATTTTCTGCAGAAAAACCTTGCTATTATAACTCAAGTAATGAAGAATACCGCACTTCAAGATGCTTTATAGGTTCAGATTTATGTGTTTAAACTTTTCGTGATTCGTTAATTAAATTCATAACTCTTACTAGAATCAAGTATATGCTAGCATATTGTCCAAAGGGAGACAATTCTAACACAAATAACACATTTTACGTAAAATGTAGCATATATACTTATGGGAGATAACTAATAAAATTCACAGGTATGATGTGTAAGGTAACATACATCCTTAATGAATATGTCCTTAAGGGAGATAACTCTAATACAAATCACAGGTATAATGTGTAAGGTATCATAAATATTAAGGGGAGATTAACTCTAACACTGGTTACAGGTATAATGTGTAAGGTATCTTATATCTGTAATGGAGATCATTCTTTCTTAAATCACAAATTTGTCTAAAATAGCATTTACTCTTAAGTACTTATAACAGATAACAATTAATACTTTTGTTTTCAAGGATGTGGATGAGTCTGAAGGGATGGACGAAGAGGAGGATGAGGAAGAAGAGGAAGATGACAGTGATGAGAGCGAGGGAGGATATGCAATGGAAACAGAGGAGACAGCAGCAGGGGAGGCTACTCCAATGTCACTTCCTTCAGGGCTGGACAGTACAGAGAACAGCATTAGTTCCCCTGAAGAGGGCACCAATCCCAACATAGAGGTGTTTGACCTACAAGAGAGTAGCAGTGAATCTATATCACCTGACATGGAGTCTCAGGCTCTGTTTGTTAAACTTAAGGAGGTGAGTGTGTGACATAGTCAGTATATCACCTGACATAGTCAGTATATCCCCTGACATGGAGTCTCAGGCTCTGTTTGTTAAACTTAAGGAGGTGAGTGTGTGACATAGTCAGTATATCACCTGACATAGTCAGTATATCACCTGACATAATCAGTATATCACCTAACATGGAGTCTCAGGCTCAGTTTGTTAAACTTAAGGAGGTGAGTGTGTGACATGGTCAGTATATCACCTGACAGAGTCAGTATATCACCTGACATGGTCGGTATATCACCTGACATAGTCAGGTGATATACAGGCTATGTTAGGTGATATACTGATTATGTCAGTATTTCACCTGACATAATCAGTATATCACATAACATGGAGTCTCAGGCTCAGTTTGTTAAACTTAAGGAGGAGAGTGTGTGACATAGTCAGTATATCCCCTGACATGGAGTCTCAGGCTCTGTTTGTTAAACTTAAGGAGGTGAGTGTATGACATAGTCAGTATATCACCTGACGTAGTCAGTATATCACCTGACATGGGCAGTATATCACCTGACATAGGCAGTAGATCACCTGACATAGTCAGTATGTCACCTGACATAGTCAGTATAGTCAGTATATCACCTGACGTAGTCAGTATATCACCTGACATAGGCAGTAGATCACCTGACATAGTCAGTATGTCACCTGACATAGTCAGTATATCAACTGACATAATCAGTATATCACATAACATGGAGTCTCAGGCTCAGCTTGTTAAACTTAAGGAGGTGAGTGTGTGACATAGTAAGTATATCACCTGACATAGTCAGGATATCACCTGACATAGTCAGTATAGTCAGTATATCACCTGACGTAGTCAGTATATCACCTGACATGGGCAGTATATCACCTGACATAGTGAGTATATCACCTGACATAGTCAGGATATCACCTGACATAGTCAGTATATAACCTGACATGGTCAGTATATCCCCTGACATAGGCAGTATATCACCTGATATAGGCAGTATATCACCTGACATAGTCAGCATATCACCTGACATAGTCAGTATAGTCAGTATATCACCTGACATGGAGTCTCAGGTTCTGTTTGTTAAACTTAAGGAGGTGAGTGTGTGACATGGTCAGTATATCACCTGACATAATCAGTGTATCACCTAACATGGAGTCTCAGGCTCAGCTTGTTAAACTTAAGGAGGTGAGTGTGTGACATAGTCAGTATATCCCCTGACATAGGCAGTATATCACCTGACATAGGCAGTATATCACCTGACATAGTCAGTATATCATCTGTTACTTGTTTACTGATAGAGATGATTTTGCATTTAGTCTCTTCAGCAATACATGCCTTTTTCATCATTTGACATTGCATAGTAGTTGATGATGAAAAACAAATAATCAAAGCAAAATTAATACAGTCCCTTAGAATAGATTTTCGCACTTTAAGTATTTTTGAACTTTAAAAACATTTCAATAACTTGAAATTCACTTTTTACTGAAATATAATTTCTGAAAACAGCAAAGCAGGACTTTCCTTAAAATGGATAACCCGAAGGGTCAGTATTTTTGTGATTCTTCTAAGTAGTTATGTTTCTTTAGTGGGAATTATTTTGCTATGCCACACTCCTAGAGTCAGTGTTTTAGTATTCAGAATAATTGTTTTGTAACTTGAAATTTTATTCAGATTTTTCAAACACATACGCATGACAAATAATGAGATACAAGTCTGTGAATTATGACAGGAAAAGATGGGTAATTGTAGAGAACACTCATCTTACAGATTTCATACTACTCTACTCACTGCACGTCATACATATAAACCTATTACACAGCCTTTGCCTGACTGACATTCATCATTAAACCATACACCCATTGGTACAGACGACTTGCTCATTTACTATTGTATATGCTATATCACCATCAAATTCAGATTGAAAAAATACTTATGGTCATGTGATGTGCTTGTATTCAACATAATTATAATGTTTCTATAGTAGGATTACATCGTTATGCCACGCCCCTAGAGTCAGTCTTTTTGTGATTCTTCAAAGGACTTGTAATGTTTCTATAGTAGGAATACATCGTTATGCCACGCCCCTAGAGTCAGTCTTTTTGCGATTCTTCAAAGGACTTGTGATGTTTCTATAGTAGGAATATATTGTTATGCCACCCCCCTAGAGTCAGTCTTTTTGCGATTCTTCAAAGGACTTGTAATGTTTCTAAAGTAGGAATATATTGTTATGCCACGCCCCTAGAGTCAGTCTTTTTGCCATTCTTCAAAGGACTTGTGATGTTTCTATAGTAGGAATATATTGTTATGCCATGCCCCTAGAGTCAGTCTTTTTGCCATTCTTCAAAGGACTTGTAATGTTTCTGTATTGGGAATTATATTGCCATGCCAATCCAAGTTGTTGAAAGTTGATGAGAATTAAAATCTAAAGCGATCTTTCTTTCTCAGGCTCAGTATAAGAAGGCAGTGTCCGAGGCAGAGCTGGCCAAACTGAAAGGAAAGGTAAGTCAACCCTGTTACATGGTAGTCTAGTGGTAGGACGCCGGGCTCGTGACCGAATGGAGGCACGGTACTCTAGTGGTAGGACCCCGGGGTCGGGACCGAAGGGAGGCACAGTAGTCTAGGAGTAGGACCCCAGGCTCGTGACCGAAGGGAGACACGGTAGTCTAGTGGTAGGAACCTGGGCTCGTGACCGAAGGGAGGCACGGTAGTCTAGTCGTAGGACCCCGGGCTCGTGACCGAAGGGAGGCACAGTAGTCTAGTGGAAGGACCCCGGGCTCTTGACCGAAGGGAGGCACAGTAGTCTAGTAGTAGGACCCCAGGCTCGGGACCGAAGGGAGGCACGGTAGTCTAGTGGTAGGACCCCAGGCTCGTGACCGAAGGGAGGCACAGGAGTCTAGTGGTAGGAACCTGGGCTCGTGACCGAAGGGAGGCACGGGGGTCTAGTGGTAGGACCCCGGGCTCGTGACCGAAGGGATGCACGGTAGTCTAGTGGTAGGACCCCGGGCTCGTGACCGAAGGGAAGCACAGTAGTCTAGTGGAAGGACCCCGGGCTCTTGACCGAAGGGAGGCACAGTAATCTAGTCGTAGGACCCCAGGCTCGTGACCGAAGGGAGGCACGGTAGTCTAGTAGTAGGACCCCGGGCTCGTGACCGAAGGGAGGCACAGTAGTCTAGTGGTAGGACCCCGGGCTCGTGACCGAAGGGAGGCATGGTAGTCTAGTAGTAGGACCCCAGGCTCGTGACCGAAGGGAGGCACGGTAGTCTAGTGGTAGGACCCCGGGCTCGTGACCGAAGGTTTGAGTCACGGCACGGCACTGTCTACTGTAAATTAAATGAGCATGTGGTTGGGCAGTGCTAGAATTGTAGAATGCTAGCTGTGAGCGCCGAAATGACAGCACCGGCTGTATGCACCCCAGGGAGTTGAGAAAGTTATTGGCTGGTTGGAAAGGCCCTATAACTACGGATAATAATTTGTGAACTGCCTTGAGACGACCTACAAACTAGGTTGTGATAAAGCGGTATATAAGAACCTCAAATTAATATTATTATTTATGTAAATTATAATTATTACATCTCTTTGGAAGTCTAAACTATGTAACGATTTTCTTGTCTTTGTAAGTATGGTAGTATCCAGTTCTCAGCCGGATTAGATTTTAGTGGTCAATAGTCTTAAGGTTAAAGGGTCAAATGTCACACTTGACCACTTGAAGAAGAGGGGGAAGTAGGTTTTAGTCATATCTATGTTGGGGATTTAACTTCGCTGTATTTGCTGTCACCAAAGATTGCAGGAAATCAAATAACCGGTGATTATCAATATCATTAATTATATATATATATTTATAAGCCTTGAAGAAGCCCTAGAAGGCAGAAAGGCCTAGCGGTAGATCACAGATACTTATTATTTTATTTGAGATATATATATCAGACAAAAAAAAATGTTTACTGCCAAATATTGAAGATAAGGCAACAATACTATATTGTATTTTAGTTTGCTTTGACGATGCAGCTGTAAAATAAATTCCTTTACCCAAGTAAATAGGATGGAGCATGATGCTTTCATTTGGTCATTTTGCTCAAAATGTAATTCCCACGTACTAGTTCTAACAGGGACAACCACAACATATTAGCCCAGAAAACTAATACGCTGTGCTTCTCTGATTGATAGCTCATCCACCTAGAAAGCATTGAGAACCAGAAGAAGGACTACGAGAAGAAGTGTGAGTCGATGGCTAAACAACTCCGAGACCAGGAGAAAAATCTGGAGAAGTCTCGCAAGGAAATGAACCAGTATCAGGTACAGAAATAATACAACTTTGCTCTTACGTGTACCCCTCCCCACCTTACGTATACCCCTCTCCACCTTACGTATACCCCTCCCCACCTTAGGTATACCCCTCCCCACCTTAGGTATACCCCTCCCCACCTTACGTATACCCCTCCCCACCTTAGGTATACCCCTCCCCACCTTAGGTATACCCCTCCCCACCTTACGTATACCCCTCCCCACCTTACGTATACCCCTCCCCACCTTAGGTATACCCCTCCCCACCTTAGGTATACCCCTCCCCACCTTACGTATACCCCTCCCCACCTTATGTATACCCCTCCCAACCTTACGTATACTCCTCCCCACCTTAGAGAGCAGGGCCACATAATATATGATAATCGCTTTGTTTGTGTCTGTCCTTAGTAAAGATTTGGTTTGTTTGTGTTTTACGTCCTATTAACAGCTATGGTCATTTAAGGACATGCCAGGTTTTGGTGGTGCAGGAAAGCCGGAGTTACCGGATAAAAACCACCGACCTATGGCCAGTAGCTGGTGACTGCCCCGCGTAGGTCTCGAAGCCGCGACCCAGTGTTGGAGGGCTAGTGTTAGCCTTAACCACTTGGCCACCGCGACCCAGTGGTGGAGGACTAGTGTTAGCCTTAACCACTTGGCCTCCGCGACCCAGTGGTGGAGGACTAGTGTTAGCCTTAACCACTTTGCCACCGCGACCAAGTGATGGAGGGCTAGTGTTAGCCTTAACCACTTGGCCGCCGCGACCCAGTGTTGGAGGACTAGTGTTAGCCTTAACCACTTGGCCGCCGCGACCCAGTGGTGGAGGACTAATGTTAGCCTTAACCACTTGGCCACCACGACCCAGTGGTGGAGGACTAGTGTTAGCCTTAACCACTGGGCCACCGTGACCCAGTGGTGGAGGACTAGTGTTAGCCTTAACCACTGGGTCGCGGTGGCCAAGTGGTGAAGGACTAGTGTTAGCCTTAACCACTTGGCCTCCGCGACCCAGTGGTGGAGGACTAGTGGTAGCCTTAACCACTTGGCCACCGTGGCCCAGTGGTGGAGGGCTAGTGTTAGCCTTAACCACTTGGCCGCCGCGACCCAGTGGTGGAGGGCTAGTGTTAGCCGTAACCACTTGGCCAGAGCGACCCAGTGGGGGAGGACTAGTGTTAGCCTTAACCACTTGGCCACTCCGACCCAGTGGTGGAGGGCTAGTGTTAGCCGTAACCACTTGGCCAGAGCGACCCAGTGGGGGAGGACTAGTGTTAGCCTTAACCACTTGGCCAGAGCGACCCAGTGGGGGAGGACTAGTGTTAGCCTTAACCACTGGGTCGCGGTGGCCAAGTGGTGAAGGACTAGTGTTAGCCTTAACCACTTGGCCGCCGCGACCCAGTGTTGGAGGACTAGTGTTAGCCTTACCCACTTGGCCACCGCGACCAAGTGATGGAGGGCTAGTGTTAGCCTTAACCACTTGGCCAGAGCGACTCAGTGGTGGAGGACTAGTGTTAGCCTTAACCACTTGGCCACCGCGACCAAGTGATGGAGGGCTAGTGTTAGCCTTAACCACTTGGCCACCGCGACCCAGTGGTGGAGGACTAGTGTTAGCCTTAACCACTTGGCCACCGTGGCCCAGTGGTGGAGGACTAGTGTTAGCCTTAACCACTTGGCCACCGCGACCCAGTGTAGGAGGGCTAGTGTTAGCCTTAACCACTTGGCCACCGCCCCTCATAAATAAAATGCTTGTGTACAAGATTTGTCATGATCGTCTGAGCACATTTAGTTCATATTGAAACCATTGTAAGGTTATAGCAAGTTCTACATCTGCTGCCATATTAGTGGTCATTGGTCAAAATCAAAAGGTCAGAGGTCAACATCACAATTGACCAATTTTAAAGTGTAAAACTTGTGTACAAGTTGTCTCACAAACTCCTCCACAAATTTATAAATAGGTACACCATAGTATGGTAACATTAGCAGGGACTAATCTAGTTTTATTTTGCTGCCATTAAATGGCACTTTCCCCTCGAGAAAAAAGTTCGAAAAATTCCCCTATTTTCCCCTAAAATTCCCCTTTGTCTTCGAAATAAATATTTCAAAATCTTGATTATAAATGCGTTGTATTCTTTTCCTCATAAAAAGAAACAATTCTCGAGCACCAAATTGAAAATCATCGATCGTTTTGTTTATTTCCCGGAGTTCATGAAACGTGTATTCCATCATTGCTGTAAAGCGATGTACGCATGCGTAACATCGCGGAACATCGCATCCGGAAAAAACCTGAAGTTAAATCAACAAGACATCATGTAGCACAAGGAGGGTTTTTACGTGTAAAAATTAAGAGAGAAAGATGCAAAAGGAAATGATCGTACGATAGATACAATGTTTGCCAAACAGACTGAGTAGGAAATTGATACAGGTTCCCCGACAGCAGTAAACATGCAACTACGTTGTCTAGTGCAGCGGCGCTGGTGACAGTACCCTAATCGGATCACAAAACCATCATTTTATTAAATCATTGAACAAATCTGAGTAGGAATTGTATTCAATTATGGTTATAAAAAGGGAAAATATTAATGAGTGTTATTACAAACGAAATTAGCACCCGGGGTTCACTTGAGATATTTATAGAACGCTCTGAAGTCACCAATCAGCGTCTCCGGTTTTTGCGAATGGCGGTACCCAAATAGGATCAAGGCTTGAATTTTGCAGTATCTTGCGCTTCAAATGAATATTTTTTTGTCAGCATATTAACATTTTATGATGACCTTTTAGAATGTATATGACAAAAAGGATTTCTATTGTGTGAAATTATTTTGACAGACGTTTCAATACAGAAATGTATGAGTTAAAATATACATGGCTATATTATAGTTATGTAAACAGAGGCTATGTTTGCAAAATCTGTGAACATTACTCAGGTTACAAAAAAATCAACTTCATTGTTGGGACTGGCTTGGGTGACCATCCTTCTAGACGTCTAGAAAGTCATGAAAATGAACACATTCACGAAAATGCTCCCTAGTGATCAAGTTCATAGTGTACCCATGTCATTTTTCTTGGTCTTCTTATTCTAAGAAATAACAGCTAGTACACATACATAATATTATAAAGAAACATCGAGACAGTCCGATTATGTATTTTCGACCTATTAGGGGGATTAATCACCTTTTTACCCCCAGAACCTCTATTATTCCCTGATTAGGTTCCATAATATCAGTGGTCATTGGTCAAGGTTAAAGGGTCAAAGGTCACTGGAGGAGGGGTGTATCTATGTGAGCCTCCGTTCACATTGTTTATATTTACAGACAATTTGTTAACATACAACCTCTTTAGGAAAATTATTCATGTGACCCTTGACCCCTGTTCTGTGCTGTAGGATCTGTTGGAGGGCTCCCAAGGGCAGTACATAGCCCTGGAGAAGAGGATGAAAGGTGACTTTACAGCTCTGGAGAAGAAGTACCATAAGGCCAAGAAACTCATTAAAGAGTACCAGTCGAGGTAAGAAATCTCACACCTCCAGGTTTTATACACCGAAATTACAAGTGACTGTAAAATACAAGGTTATGTTGTAAATCGGTTCTGAATGGATGAACTACACATGTACACCAACAACTTGCCCTGGGATAGTGGCATTATACACACCTGATCATGCAAAAACGTATTTGAAATTTTTGAGATGTTTTGTTTTCAGAGAAAAGGATTTCATCCAGGAGAGAGAATCTCTGTTACAACAGCAAGCGGAAAAGGATCAGCAATACAACGCTCTGGTCAAGTCACTCAAGGACAGGGTAGGCTTTATTACTACAGCCTGTACAATGTGTAGTTATAACCTGTACTAGGTCCTCACAATGTGTAGTTATAGCCTGTACTAGGTCCTCACAATGTGTAGTTATAACCTGTACTAGGTCCTCACAATGTGTAGTTATAACCTGTACTAGGTCCTCACAATGTATAGTTATAACCTGTACTAGGTCCTCACAATGTATAGTTATAACCTGTACTAGGTCCTCACAATGTATAGTTATAACCTGTACTAGGTCCTCACAATGTATAGTTATAACCTGTACTAGGTCCTCACAATGTATAGTTATAACCTGTACTAGGTCCTCACAATGTATAGTTATAACCTGTACTAGGTCCTCACAATGTATAGTTATAACCTGTACTAGGTCCTCACAATGTATAGTTATAACCTGTACTAGGTCCTCACAATGTATAGTTATAACCTGTACTAGGTCCTCACAATGTATAGTTATAACCTGTACTAGGTCCTCACAATGTATAGTTATAACCTGTACTAGGTCCTCACAATGTATAGTTATAACCTGTACTAGGTCCTCACAATGTATAGTTATAACCTGTACTAGGTCCTCACAATGTATAGTTATAACCTGTACTAGGTCCTCACAATGTATAGTTATAACCTGTACTAGGTCCTCACAATGTATAGTTATAACCTGTACTAGGTCCTCACAATGTATAGTTATAACCTGTACTAGGTCCTCACAATGTATAGTTATAACCTGTACTAGGTCCTCACAATGTATAGTTATAACCTGTACTAGGTCCTCACAATGTATAGTTATAACCTGTACTAGGTCCTCACAATGTATAGTTATAACCTGTACTAGGTCCTCACAATGTATAGTTATAACCTGTACTAGGTCCTCACAATGTATAGTTATAACCTGTACTAGGTCCTCACAATGTATAGTTATAACCTGTACTAGGTCCTCACAATGTATAGTTATAACCTGTACTAGGTCCTCACAATGTATAGTTATAACCTGTACTAGGTCCTCACAATGTATAGTTATAACCTGTACTAGGTCCTCACAATGTATAGTTATAACCTGTACTAGGTCCTCACAATGTATAGTTATAACCTGTACTAGGTCCTCACAATGTATAGTTATAACCTGTACTAGGTCCTCACAATGTATAGTTATAACCTGTACTAGGTCCTCACAATGTATAGTTATAACCTGTACTAGGTCCTCACAATGTATAGTTATAACCTGTACTAGGTCCTCACAATGTATAGTTATAACCTGTACTAGGTCCTCACAATGTATAGTTATAACCTGTACTAGGTCCTCACAATGTATAGTTATAACCTGTACTAGGTCCTCACAATGTATAGTTATAACCTGTACTAGGTCCTCACAATGTATAGTTATAACCTGTACTAGGTCCTCACAATGTATAGTTATAACCTGTACTAGGTCCTCACAATGTATAGTTATAACCTGTACTAGGTCCTCACAATGTATAGTTATAACCTGTACTAGGTCCTCACAATGTATAGTTATAACCTGTACTAGGTCCTCACAATGTATAGTTATAACCTGTACTAGGTCCTCACAATGTATAGTTATAACCTGTACTAGGTCCTCACAATGTATAGTTATAACCTGTACTAGGTCCTCACAATGTATAGTTATAACCTGTACTAGGTCCTCACAATGTATAGTTATAACCTGTACTAGGTCCTCACAATGTATAGTTATAACCTGTACTAGGTCCTCACAATGTATAGTTATAACCTGTACTAGGTCCTCACAATGTATAGTTATAACCTGTACTAGGTCCTCACAATGTATAGTTATAACCTGTACTAGGTCCTCACAATGTATAGTTATAACCTGTACTAGGTCCTCACAATGTATAGTTATAACCTGTACTAGGTCCTCACAATGTATAGTTATAACCTGTACTAGGTCCTCACAATGTATAGTTATAACCTGTACTAGGTCCTCACAATGTATAGTTATAACCTGTACTAGGTCCTCACAATGTATAGTTATAACCTGTACTAGGTCCTCACAATGTATAGTTATAACCTGTACTAGGTCCTCACAATGTATAGTTATAACCTGTACTAGGTCCTCACAATGTATAGTTATAACCTGTACTAGGTCCTCACAATGTATAGTTATAACCTGTACTAGGTCCTCACAATGTATAGTTATAACCTGTACTAGGTCCTCACAATGTATAGTTATAACCTGTACTAGGTCCTCACAATGTATAGTTATAACCTGTACTAGGTCCTCACAATGTATAGTTATAACCTGTACTAGGTCCTCACAATGTATAGTTATAACCTGTACTAGGTCCTCACAATGTATAGTTATAACCTGTACTAGGTCCTCACAATGTATAGTTATAACCTGTACTAGGTCCTCACAATGTATAGTTATAACCTGTACTAGGTCCTCACAATGTATAGTTATAACCTGTACTAGGTCCTCACAATGTATAGTTATAACCTGTACTAGGTCCTCACAATGTATAGTTATAACCTGTACTAGGTCCTCACAATGTATAGTTATAACCTGTACTAGGTCCTCACAATGTATAGTTATAACCTGTACTAGGTCCTCACAATGTATAGTTATAACCTGTACTAGGTCCTCACAATGTATAGTTATAACCTGTACTAGGTCCTCACAATGTATAGTTATAACCTGTACTAGGTCCTCACAATGTATAGTTATAACCTGTACTAGGTCCTCACAATGTATAGTTATAACCTGTACTAGGTCCTCACAATGTATAGTTATAACCTGTACTAGGTCCTCACAATGTGTAGTTATAACCTGTACTAGGTCCTCACAATGTGTAGCTATAACCTGTACTAGGTCCTCACAATGTATAGTTATAGCCTGTACTAGGTCCTCACAATGTGTAGTTATAGCCTGTACTAGGTCCTCACAATGTGTAGCTATAACCTGTACTAGGTCCTCACAATGTATAGCTATAACATGTACTAGGTCCTCACAATGTATAGTTATAACCTGTACTAGGTCCTCACAATGTGTAGTTATAACATGTACTAGGTCCTCACAATGTATAGCTATAACCTGTACTAGGTCCTCACAATTTATAGCTATAACCTGTTCTTAGTCCTCACAAGCTACTTAAGAATGAGGCTGTTTGAAGAAGAGGCATTTGTTGTTGGAACGAGGCTCTGCTGTTTTGAAAAAGATGTTTTGCTATTGATTAAGGAGACTATTATCAGTATAACGTAACAATGTTTTGGTCTGTGACAGGTTTTCCGGCTAGAGGGCGAGCTTGCTGAAGTTCAGGCGGCAGCTGGTCTACCCATCGTTATTCCTAAGGAATCAACAACACCACAAAAAACAGTGGAGCTTGACGTCCTACTTAAAACCAAGACTCCCCCCACCCAGTCAGCACCCCAAGGTCAGTCAAAATAACCTGCCAATTTGTTTGGATTAAATCATTTTTTTGAAATTTTGAAGAAGACATTTGAAATTTATGATAATTTAATTACAAATTAGACCAATGAACCATAATCTTAAGATACCTTAAGGCACATGTGGAAGTCACCTGTGGAAGGTACCCATGGAAGGCACCTGTGTCTTCCACAGGTGCCTTCCACTGGTGCCCTCCATAGATGCCCTCCACTGGTGCCCTCCACAGGTGCCCTCACAGGTGCCTTACACTTCCCCTGAATTATTTATTAAGGAAGGATTAGCTCAAGTCCAACAACTGAGATTTCGTTCAACTCTTCAGTTTAATTATATGATACCCAGTTAGGAGGAATAGAATCTGTCACTTGTATCATAGTGATCATACTCAAGCTTGACCCAGTTAGGAGGAATAGAATCTGTCACTTGTATCCAAGTGATCATACTCAAGCTTGACCCAGTTAGGAGGAATAGAATCTGTCACTTGTACCCAAGAAATCATACACAAGCCTGCTTTATCATAATTTCGCTCATTTGTGTTTCTTTTGCTCCCAGAACAAACTTCGAAGGCCCTGAAGCACCAGATGTCGGATAGTGTTTCGTCAATTTCGTCTGGGTCGGATGGATCACCAGTAGACACTGTGGGCAGCCCAGGTAAACATTGTACCATTGAGCCAGAATTACATTTTAACATTTTTTGTATGATTTCCTTGTTTGTCTTTTAAGTTTAAATTGCAATAAATCTTGTTAATGCATGATTTGTATGAGTGCAATGTGAATCAAGTTATTCCTTCAAATTCAGGATTTTCCTTGACTTGAAGAAAACAAAAAAATAAGATAACCTCTGAACATAGGGATTTCTATTGAATAATTTCGTTCCTTTTTGATATTTTTCAGTGGACTCTCAAATACTTCTGATACTATGAGAGAACTTTACATTATTACTTATTTATTATAGCAGACACTACTTTTAACAAATTATCGAATCTTAACAGAATAGCACTTTAATGAATTGGTGCACTCACGAGTGATTCAACAGAGAAATATAATTATACAGGAGCTTCCTGTAACACAAGTAGGAATAAGGCAACGTTAAAAGTCTGAAGAGTACTAAAATTAAAATACCACTAAAATAGGTATGTTTACAATGGGCAACACATATGTTAAAGCAGAATTCCAACGTCCAAAAATCAGTTTGAATTCATAAGGGTTTTGGTCAGATTAGACAGGATGTTGGTATACTCATGGGTCAGATTAGACAGAATGTTGGGAAACTCAGTGGTCAGATTAGACAGGATGTTGGAATTCTCAGGAGTCAGATTAGACTTGAGTTCAGAATGCTCATGGGTCAGATTAGACAGGATTTCAGAATACTCAGGGGTCAGATGAAACAGGATGTTGGAATTCTCAGGAGTCAGATTAGACTTGAGTTCAGAATGCTCAGGGGTCAGATTAGACAGGATTTCAGCATACTCAGGGGTCAGATTAAACAGGATGTTGGAATTCTCAGGAGTCAGATTAGACTTGAGTTCAGAATGCTCAGAGGTCAGATTAGACACGTTATAATATCATAGTAAAACCATGTCAACCTTGAAATGGGAGTTGCAGTTGCACATGTGTTCAAGGTTTGAATGACCTTGATTTAATCATCGTGATATTTAAAGGTCATGACCTTCACCTTGTATTCTGGGTAGAAACACAGAAATCATTTGATCTTGTTGATACTCTATAGCTGCAGAAATAATTGAAAATGATATCTGAATTTTAAAACTTTATCTTTAGAACCGGAAGTGCTTGAAAGTGAGCTTGACCGTGACCTTGACCGCAATGGACATGCTGAACATGACCTTACACTGACCGGTGTGATTCCAGAGACGTCACTCTTGGACACGACGGCCAACAAAAATAAGGGTCAAGTTGGCATGACAGGGGGAAATGCTAGTCGCAGATTACCAACGAAACGTAACAAAGTAGGAACAATAGATCTACCCAGCATTATGTATTGTTGTATCTGCGATAGAGACGAAACTAGTAGACCAAATAAAAACCTTCAAAAACCGTCTTATTGGTAACGCTGGAGTATGTTGTGATGAAGTCCCCCCTACTTATATATAATTCCTCTTCAATCGCCGGGCATACCTCTTGGTATCCGTACTCACAACTAACCAACCCGGATACACGACGTTGGCTCGACAACGTTGACTCTTTATATCAATGATGGCTTGCTCTGTGCTGCAATGGTGAACAAGTTCAAACATAAACTTCTGGACGTAAATAATTTTATTGGATTTGGGGAAACTTATGGTTACAACCAAATGTACAGTGTATCAAAAAACAAAATACAACTTGGAGCAACCTTTCATCATAACATATTTCAAATTTTGCCGAAATTATTTGACCAGGTGGCTCAGCTTGTATTAAACGGCAGGCTACTTAACTCACAATTTACTCCTGAATCCTGCTCTTTCATCATGTTTACCTTTTCCCCCCAACCTCGTTTTGCAAAGTGTTTTAATGTTTCACATCTGTGAGTTTCATTAATAAGACTTACCTCTTTGATGATAATTATTCAAGGCATTTGGAATTCAGATTTATTCGTCAAATCAGAAACACAACATATATTCTTCATTAATTGAAGAAAATGTGGAAAAGACGATTGAAAAAAATATTTCGTTTAATTAATATACTTGCTTTTGAGCTCTATGGCAAGTTCGCATGGTAAAATACAAATTAAAAAGGAAAAAGGAGTTCTAAAAGAAGAAGAAAAAAAAAAAAATTGAGCATGATGTGTCATCTTTTATTGTTTCCTCAGTCTCAAGAAAGTCTAAGTGAGGCAGCAGATGGAGAAGTGAAAGCAGAAAACGAAAGCCGACTAGAGGCTTGGATGAAACATGACAGGTAAGGTCAAAGGTTATATATAGTTTCGTAAGTGACTGATATGTGACTGGGAGGGTCAAAGGTTAAACTAGTTACATAAAACTGATATAGAACAGATTTATTATAAAACAGCTCTTTGTAAATTCTTTCTTACAACAGAGATTTATTTGTACTCTGTGGATAGAAGTCTAATATATATATAATTCTACATTGCTGACAATTCCAAAAACAAAACTCCTTAGCTTGTACTTCTGATAAATGGTGATGGTAAATGGTGATGATGTAAGTGATGATAAATGGTGATGATGTGGGTGATGGTAAATGGTGATGATGTGGGTGATGGTAAATGGTGATGATGTGGGTGATGATAAATGGTGATGATGTGAGTGATAATAAATGGTGATGATGTGGGTGATGGTAAATGGTGATGATGTGAGTGATGGTAAATGGTGATGATAAATGGTGCTGATGTGAGTGATGATTAATGGTGATGATGTGAGTGATGATTAATGGGGATGATGTGAGTGATGATTAATGGTGATGATGTGTGTGATGGTAAATGGTGATGATGTGAGGGATGGTAAATGGTGATGGTAAATGGTGATGATGTGAGTGATGGTAAATGGTGATGATGTGGGTGATGGTAAATGGTGATGATGTGTGTGATGGTAAATGGTGATGATGTGAGTGATGGTAAATGGTGATGGTAAATGGTGATGATGTGAGTGATGATTAATGGTGATGATGTGAGTGATGGTAAATGGTGATGATGTGGGTGATGATAAATGGTGATGGTAAATAGTGATGATGTGAGTGATGGTAAATGATGATGAGGACTTATGTGAGTGATGTATTTGCTGTTTGTGCAGCGATGGAACAGTGAAAAAAAGTGCTTCTAAGAAGAAAAAGCCACAGGACGTGCTCCTGCCCCCCACAGTACCACCGCCCCTACCGCCTTGTCCAGCAACTGTAGATGTTACAGACACCGACACTCAATCTCAACATTCCCAGTCAAAGTAAGCAAGGGGAGGTAATCTGTGTGATAACTAGTATGGAATTAATCCTATTGTTTCCAATTTGTGCCAACATCATAAATGAGAGGGAAGCTGTTGTTCATCTCACAAAGTAAATGGAGGTAGTCTGATTTCTTGTGATCACACATAGTAAAGGGAAGTAATCTGATTTCTGGTGATCACACATAGTAATGGGAGATAATCTGATTTCTGGTGATCACACATAGTAAAGGGAGATAATCTGATTTCTGGTGATCACACATATGAAATGGAGGTAATCTGATTTCTGGTGATCACACATATGAAAGGGAGGTAATCTTATTTCTGGTGATCACACATAGTAATGGGAGATAATCTGATTTCTGGTGATCACACATAGTAAAGGGAGGTAATCTGATTTCTGGTGATCACACATACGAAAGGGAGGTAATCTTATTTCTGGTGATCACACATAGTAAAGGGAGATAATCTGATTTCTGGTGATCGCACATAGTAAAAGGAGATAATCTTGTTTTTGGTGATCACACATAGTAAAGGATGGTAAGCTGATTCCTACCTGTTAATCTCACAAAGAAGGGGAGGTAATCTGATTCCTACCTGGTAATCTCACAAAGTAGGGGGAGGTAATCTGATTTTTTCTGTGCTCATTGCACTGGGAATGAAAGTTTTAAAAGCTTTCCATCTGGAATGTGAATTTGAAACTTAAAGGATAGCAGTAACAACGACTTTCCTTTGTATGTTTATAAACAAATCACTAACTATTTTAGCCCACTGTGTTATTCCCTGGACCAGTAGAAGTATTTGTATGTTTCGTTTGGAAGATTTCACTAGCTCAATTGTAGTTGCTTTATTCGGAAGAGCTGCCATCAAGGGATGGACATAGTGTCTAGTGTGATTAGCTAAACCTTCCAATTTTGATATTCTTTTTTTTTCAGCCAATCAGAGGAGAGCTCCTCAACTGTTTCACAAACATCATATGACCCATCCAATCCGAATTTCAAAAACTTGGAATCAGAAATTCCAGAAACCGTTTCCATAGATACCTCGGTGTCTGCAAGCTCTACAAGTGGTACCAGTTCAGGTTCAGGGACCAAGTCATCTAGCAAAGGTCAGCCAATCAAATCTTGTGTCACTAAGTTTAAGATCATTAGTCCAATGAAAACAGCTCTTTCAAAGTCAATGAAAAAACAGTACCCAATGAAATTTCATTTTATTTTCTACCAATGAAAGAGACCCTTCGAAGAGTTACAGCCGTGTTTGGCTAATCAATATAATTTCAATGAATGATGTTCTCTTCATGTCTGTTTTGATAAAGTAATATCTTGCATGTTAACGATGTTTGTTGATAGTTGTCAGCACATGATTCAATAGCTGCATGGGTAAAGCTAAATGTTAACATATTGTAAGATAACAGCTGTGATAGTTCATAGGTTGGTACTAATTGATAACTTTGTTGTTTGAACTTGCATGAATAATTGTCAAAGTATTTAAGAGCTTTTGAGATGTGTTTCATTCCAAATGATATTTTTAGATTTTCTGATTAGAAGATATAAATGAAACTTACAGGGCATTTTGTAAATAGGTCAGATATAGGTTTAAAACATTTTAGATATAAATAACATTTTATAAAATTTTATAAAATGTAAGAAAAAATAAAGCAGGCGGGTGGGGGG